TTATAACTTTATAACTTTATAACTTTATAACTTTATAACTTTATAACTTTATAACTTTATAACTTTATAACTTTATAACTTTATAACTTTATAACTTTATAACTTTATAACTTTACAACTTTATAACTTTATAACTTTATAACTTTATAACTTTACAACTTTATAACTTTATAACTTTATAACTTTATAACTTTATAACTTTATAACTTTATAACTTTATAACTTTATAACTTTATAACTTTACAACTTTGTAACTTTATAACTTTATAACTTTATAACTTTATAACTTTATAACTTTATAACTTTATAACTTTATAACTTTATAACTTTATAACTTTGTAACTTTGTAACTTTATAACTTTATAACTTTAGAAGTTTATAACTTTGTAACTTTATAACTTTATAGCTTTATATCTTTATAACTTTATAACTTTATAACTTTAGAAGTTTATAACTTTGTAACTTTATAACTTTATAGCTTTATAGCTTTATAACTTTATAACTTAGAAGTTTATAACTTTGTAACTTTATAACTTTATAGCTTATAGCTTATAACTTTATAACTTTATAACTTTAGAAGTTTATAACTTTGTAACTTTATAACTTTATAGATTTATAACTTTATAACTTTATAACTTTATAGCTTTATAACTTTATAACTTTATAACTTATAACTTTATAACTTTATAACTTTATAACTTTATAACTTTATAACTTTATAACTTTATAACTTATAACTTTATAACTTTATAACTTTATAACTTTATAACTTTATAACTTTATAACTTTATAACTTTATAACTTTATAACTTATACTTATACTTATAACTTTATAACTTTATAACTTTATAACTTTATAACTTTATAACTTATAACTTTATAACTTTATAACTTTATAACTTTATAACTTTATAACTTTATAACTTTATAACTTTACTTTATAACTTTATACTTTATAACTTTATAACTTTATAACTTTATAACTTTATAACTTTATAACTTTATAACTTTATACTTAACTTTATAACTTATAACTTAACTTTATAACTTATAACTTTATAACTTTATAACTTTATAACTTTATAACTTTATAACTTTATAGCTTTATAACTTTATAACTATATAACTTTATAACTTAATTTTTGCTTAAAATTTCCTCCAATAGAAAACAATAAATTCCTTAATTTTTTGATTAAATATAAACATTTATAACAAACACGTTTCCAAGATAAAACATGCTGAGACAAATGTTAATTTTCATAAAAAAAGAAAACTCCTTTAATGAAATAACAATAAAAAATTAATGACATTAATATAAAAACTTGCTACTTTTAAAAGATTTGATTTTATTAAAAAAAATTTGGTTAGCAATTGTGGTTCATTTGGCTTTCCTTTGTTTTAGTAAAAAAAAAAATTCCTTTAAACAATGTTTCAAATGTTTGTCTGTGTCTAAAATAAAAAGACCCACCAATGAAGTCATGAGATCTTAATTTGAGTTGGTATTATGTTTGGGTCAAAATCGTGTTGTATCCTATAATTCAAAATACAAAAAAATCCAAACAACATAAAAAACAAGTTTTAAATCTTAATATCTGGCAGACACAACAAAAAAAAATTGGAGAAATTTCTTTAGTTTTTTCCTATTATAGTTGTTAGTGTTTTATTAAGCCATATTAACATATTTTACTTTGAGTTTCATCTAATGTTCTAATAATAAAATGAAATTAATAGAAAAGAATAGATGTTAAATAAAGATGATATTTATCTGGTAGCAGATAGCAAGTTGAATACAATATAAATGTTTATAATTTTCTAAAAATATGTAAATTAAATAGAAAGATTTTTAGAAGAACAAATTTCAAAAATTAAGTTTAAAGAAAATTTATTTTATTAGTTTTTTTATAGGACAAGCATAAATGCAATGTCAAGTTGTTATGATGTTATGACCTAAAACAAGTTTTTCTTAAAATTCTTGATTGACATTAAAATAACTTTGATTATTATAAAAATTCTTATATTGAAAGAAAACTTTTAAAATTACTCATAAAAATATTAAAAAAAAAATCCGTTATATTATGTAAATAATAGAATACAAATAAACCAAACATTCTTACAACAATAAAAGAAAAATATTTTCAGTTTTTTATATAAAAGTTCTAAGTTGGTAAGTAATACACCTACTTTGTGTTCTTCACTTCATTTCCTTCTTTATAAAATTTCACAGTTAACTTCTATTCCCGTAACCATGTCCGCCAACAAAAACTCAATAATTAACTAAAATCAAAAAAAAATATCTCCCACCAAAAATATTGATTACTCATGCCAATAATCGTACAAGCAAAATAACAATTCATTCATGTTACAAAAACAAACCACAATAGTAAAATTCTAACAAATAATTTCCTCCAAATAAGTTGGTCAAAACAAAAAAAATAGTATTCTAAATCATATTGCTATTTATATCTGTTCATTTTCCTTATGTACGTGTTTCGACATTAATGGGAAATATTCATAACATACAAATTCATATTTGTAATTTTTACTATAATTTTAAACCTGCCTTATCATGTTCTCAAACGTGTTGTTGTTACCCCCTCCAAAAGAAATAAGAACAACAAAAATTAATAACAAAAGCTATAACAACAATATCATGGTTACAGTAACTAGAGCTTAGGAAAAACACAATGTTGTTCTTGGCGATGATGATGATGATGATCAAATTATGCTATTAAATGAAACTAAAGATCAGGGAGGTAGTCGCGAGGAAGTAGGGAGATAGACTATACTATAGTTCAGAACATAGACAAGACATGGACTGGCCTAAACTCCAGACTATAGACTGGACGACATCCCAGACAATATTATAGACTTTAGTCCAGATTATAAACAAGACTATAGGCTAGACTATAGACAAGACTATATGGCAGACTATAGACTAGACTATAGTCCAGACTATATATAAGTACATAGTCCAGACTATAGACTATAGACAAGACTATAGTCCAGACTACATACATATAGATAGTTTAGACTATACACAAGACTTTAGTCCAGAATATAGACAAGACTATAATCCATACTATAGACTAGACTATAGACCAGACTATAGACTAGACTATTATCCAGACTATAGACTAGACTATAGTCCAGACTATAGTCTAGTCTAAACTATAGTCCAGACTATAGTCTAGTCTAAACTATAGTCCAGACTATAGACTAGTCTAAACTATAGTCCAGACTATAGACTAGGCTATAGTCCAGACTATAGTTGAGACTATAGACAATACTTTAGTCCCGACTACAGTCAAGACAAAAGATTCGACTGTAGACAAGACTCTAGTCCAGACTATATACAAATAGATAGTCCAGACTATAGACTACGGACAATACTATAGTCCAGACTACATACTAGTAGATAGTTTAAACTATAGACAAGACAATAGTCCAGACTATAGACTAGACTACAGACTATAGTCTAGATTATAGACTAGACTATAGTCCAGACTATAGACTAGACTATAGTCCAGACTATAGACTAGACTATAGTCCAGACTATAGACTAGACTATAGACTAGACTATAGTCCAGACTATAGACTAGACTATAGACTAGACTATAGTCCAGACTATAGACTAGACAATAGTCCAGACTATAGACTAGACTATAGTCCAGACTATAGACTAGACTATAAACCAGACTATAGACTAGACTACAGTCCAGACTATAGAAGAGTATAGACCAGACTATAGACCAGACTATAGACTAGACTATATACCAAACTATTGCCTAGACTATAGCCTAGACTATAGTCCAGACTATAGACTAGACTTTAGTCCAGACTATAGACTAGACTATTGATCAGACTATAGACTAGACTATAGACCAGACTACAATTGAGACAATTATTTAGTCCAGACTATAGCCAAGACTAAAGACTCGACTATAGACAGGACTCTAGTCCAGACTATATACATGTAAATAGTCCCTACTATAGACTACACACAATACTATAGTCGAGACTACGGTCTGGACTATAAAATAAGCTATTGTCCAGAATATAGACTATAGTCTGTATAGTAGATTCACTATATTCCAGACTGTAGATGAGACTGCAGTCTAGATTAAACTATAGTCCAAACTATAGATAAAACTATAAACTAGACTATGTACAAAATAATAAACTAGACTATAGAAATATATACTAGACTATATTCCAGACTATAGACTTGACTACAGACATAACTATATATCAGAATGCAGACAATACCTTCTTCCAGGCTATAGGGACGACTATAGGCCAGGCTATAGACAAGGCTAGAGTTCAGACAAGACTATAGTCCAGACCAGACTATAGGCCATTCTATAGACAAGAATTCCAACTATATACTAGACTAGAATATAGTCCAAACTATAGACTATAGTCCAGATTATCAATCGATTTTTGGAAGCAATATGTATGTATGTATATCAAAAGAAAGGCATTGATGTAAAACAGTTTATATTCGTATTACCCATTTTTACCGTTGCTGCAACTCCGCCACTGTAAACCAAGAAGCAACATACTTTTCTTTAAAAACATAATAAATAACATGACTTCAAAAAAGTTAAGTATTTTTGAATTTAAAATATGTATTGTAGAAAAAAAATTATAAACTATGTCGGTATATTTGACTCTATATCTCTACAATTCATATCAAATGACACAATATTGTGGCCGAAGTCATATGAACATGAACAACAGTATTTTAACTGTCAAGCGAACTAACAATACATACATGTAAGAGATTATTAGAAGAGCACTGAGGGAAATATAACAAAAACAAAGTGTTACATCAATTGATTGGAACACAAGAATTTCTTGAAAAAAGGTGTAACGGTAGCCGGCAGTTGTTAAGTTACTTAATTATGATCTATTGTCATTAGAATGCGTTATAATTGAAGACAATAAGGAAAGTATTTCAAAAAATCCAGAGTCATTAGCAGCATTATCATGATACTTACTCTTGATTAAGATAAATATCAAATCAAACACACACACACACAAATATGGGTTAAATTTTAAAACTTTGAGCATCAAACTTACAATTTAAGAATATTTTTTATTTTCAAATTTCTATTAACATTTCTACACTCACACTAAACAAATTCAACTAAATGTTTTAACTAAATAATAATATTTATTTTAAAATATTGCAACATTTAAGCAATAGAAACACTCTCACGTAAAAGCTCAACTTAAACAAATACCATAACAAAATATTTAGTATAAATTTTTCTAAATAAACGACTCTAAAATACCTAAACAATATGTTTACTAACTAACTGTCAGAGTCGCAAAAAACGCATTTGAAATTCATGAAAATAATGACAGTAAATACCAAAAACAAAAAAAAAAACAAAACATAAAATTGTTAAACAATAAATTGCAATAAATTAAATTTTAAATAGCTAAATACTTGAACATCCATGACTGCTAAAACTGAAATGACGTAAGCTTTCAATATGAAACGCCAACTCATTAAATACAAATCGCAATGAATGACAGAATGAGAGAAGAAGAGACTCTCGCTTATTAAACAGTGAGTTACGATGATTGATCGTTTAATCGTTAGTTAGAACTTTTAGAATGCACAACGTTTTATAATGAAATTATTTTTAATTATAGATTATTCAAAATTTGCATTTTGATTTTATAATAAACGAAAGGTTAGTCTGACTATAGACTAGATTATAGACTGGGCTATTGACTAGACTATAGACTAGCTTATAGGCTAGAAATCTAGACTAAACTATACTATTCACTAGACTATAGACTAGACTATAGACTAGACTATAGACTAGACTATAGACTAGACTAGACTACTAGACTAGACTATAGACTAGACTATAGACTAGACTATAGACTAGACTATAGACTAGACTATAGACTAGACTATAGACTAGACTATAGACTAGACTATAGACTAGACTATAGACTAGACTATAGACTAGACTATAGACTAGACTATAGACTAGACTATAGACTAGACTATAGACTAGACTATAGACTAGACTATAGACTAGACTATAGACTAGACTATAGACTAGACTATAGACTAGACTATAGACTAGACTATAGACTAGACTATAGACTAGACTATAGACTAGACTATAGACTAGACTATAGACTAGACTATAGACTAGACTATAGACTAGACTATAGAACTAGACTATAGACTAGACTATAGACTAGACTATAGACTAGACTATAGACTAGACTATAGACTAGACTATAGACTAGACTATAGACTAGACTATAGACTAGACTATAGACTAGACTATAGACTAGACTATAGACTAGACTATAGACTAGACTATAGACTAGACTATAGACTAGACTATAGACTAGACTATAGACTAGACTATAGACTAACTATAGACTAGACTATAGACTAGACTATAGACTAGACTATAGACTAGACTATAGACTAGACTATAGACTAGACTATAGACTAGACTATAGACTAGACTATAGACTAGACTATAGACTAGACTATAGACTAGACTATAGACTAGACTATAGACTAGACTATAGACTAGACTATAGACTAGACTATAGACTAGACTATAGACTAGACTATAGACTAGACTATAGACTAGACTATAGACTAGACTATAGACTAGACTATAGACTAGACTATAGACTAGACTATAGACTAGACTATAGACTAGACTATAGGCTAGACTATAGACTAGACTATAGACTAGACTATAGGCTAGACTATAGGCTAGACTATAGACTAGACTATAGACTAGACTATAGACTAGACTATAGACTAGACTATAGACTAGACTATAGACTAGACTATAGACTAGACTATAGACTAGACTATAGACTAGACTATAGACTAGACTATAGACTAGACTATAGACTAGACTATAGACTAGACTATAGACTAGACTATAGACTAGACTATAGACTAGACTATAGACTAGACTATAGACTAGACTATAGACTAGACTATAGACTAGACTATAGACTAGACTATAGACTAGACTATAGACTGGACTATAGACTAGACTATAGACTGGACTATAGACTAGACTATAGACTGGACTATAGACTGAACTATAGACTGGACTATAGACTGGACTATAGACTGGACTATAGACTGGACTATAGACTGGACTATAGACTGGACTATAGACTGGACTATAGACTAGACTATAGACTAGACTATAGACTAGACTATAGACTAGACTATAGACTAGACTATAGACTAGACTATAGACTAGACTATAGACTAGACTATAGACTAGACTATAGACTAGACTATAGACTAGACTATAGACTAGACTATAGACTAGACTATAGACTAGACTATAGACTAGACTATAGACTAGACTATAGACTAATCGACTATTTTTCAAGTCGCATAATTTAAAACACTATGAACTTAAGTAGACAAATAAGATAAACATTTAGTTAAGCTTAAAAAGCAGCAATTAAAAGCTTAAGCTTTGAGTGCAGCTTTAATAAAAAAACAAAAATTCCAAAACACATTTTATACAAATTCTCAATATTGAATAGAAGTTTGACAGCAATAACAAGTTGACAAATAGGGGTATATACAAAAAATTAGCACAGATCAAAAAAACTTTGATCAATATGAAATAATTAGGAAAAATTAACATAGTTTAAAAAATTTAAATTATTGGAAAATTGTTATTCTTGCAGCATAATTAAATTATTGAAAAATATGCAAATGTCATATTTGCAAGTTCTTCTTTTTTATACTTTATTTTGAAACCTTTAAAGTTATTTTAAAATTCAAAATTATGCGGTTAAGATGTTCATAATTTCGAAATGCAATTTTAATAAACACTTATTAAAATGTTTTTGTTTTTTTTTTTTTCATTTTGCATTACTGACATTATTTATATATACCAAACAACCTTGAATTTAGACATTTAATGCCTTCAAACAACAGATATGGATGCGCTCGAATGATTTTTTCTATTATTTTATTATTTAACAAGTTTTTTTTTAACAAACGCTTTATTAAACAATTACTTTATGGGCAATATTTTAAGCTAGAATAACTAAACTTGTTTTAGAAAAAAAAACATAAAGAATTGCGAAATTGCAAAAGGTGTTAAATTAAAATAAAGGGAATAAATGTATAAAATATTAGCTAAAGAAAAATATTAAGAAAAAAACTGAAACAAAACTTTAAAAAATGTTTTAGGTAAAAAAAAAAAAATTGTCTCACATGTTTAGTTTTCCTTCAAATATCTGCTACACATTTGTATTATATTGTTGGAAATTGTCATTATAATTTAGAATCTAACATGGCTACTGTTCACCATAGCTATGTTCCCATCTATACTCTGTTACCCCGTCATGTTGCAATCTCTTTTTTTCAATAATTATTGTAACTTTTGTATAAAAACCGTTTTGTGTCCATTCACATTAATTCCTCCTGTGGTAACTTGGTTTTCATTATGTTTTTATTTTTTTGCTCTCGGTATGCCTTGTTTGTCTGACAACAAAAGATTTTTTTTGCAGTTGCCTTGGTTTTGTTTAGACATCGTACTTGAACAACATGCAACATGTACCAGAAGATTAAATATACAGAAAAAAGTTAATAACAAAATACAAGAAATATGTACATAAATATTGCAACATGAATATTTAAGTAGATTTCTGGTCATATAATGTATAATAGGGGAAATAAAATTTAAGGCATTGAAGACTACAAATGTAGCTAAGATTATAGACTCGACTACAGTCAACAACAGCTTGGGGCTAAACTATAGTCAGAACTGAACGAGAACTGAACTGAACTGAATGGAATACTGAACTGAACTGAACTAGAACGGAACTGAACTGAACTAGAACTGAACTAGAACTGAACTAGAACTGAACTAAACTGAACAGAACTGAACTAGAACTGAACTAGAACTGACTAGAACTGAACTAAACTGAACTAGAACTGAACTAGAACTGAACTAGAACTGAACTAGAACTGAACTAGAACTGAACTAGAACTGAACTAGAACTGAACTAGAACTGAACTAGAACTGAACTAGAACTGAACTAGAACTGAACTAGAACTGAACTAGAACTGAACTAGAACTGAACTAGAACTGAACTAGAACTTGAACTAGAACTGAACTAGAACTGAAACTAGAACTGAACTAGAACTGAACTAGAACTGACTAGAACTGAACTAGAACTGAACTAGAACTGAACTAGAACTGAACTAGAACTGAACGAGAACTGAACTAGAACTGAACTAGAACTGAACTAGAACTGAACTAGACTGAACTAGAACTGAACTAGAACTGAACTAGAACTGAACTAGAACTGAACTAGAACTGAACTAGAACTGAACTAGAACTGAACTAGAACTGAACTAGAACTGAACTAGAACTGAACTAGAACTGAACTAGAACTGAACTAGACTGAACTAGAACTGAACTAGAACTGAACTAGAACTGACTAGAACTGAACTAGAACTGAACTAGAAACTGAACTATGAACTGAACTAGAACTGAACTAGAACTGAACTAGAACTGAACTAAATGAACTAGAACTGAAACTAGAACTGAACTAGAACTGAACTAGAACTGAACTAGACTGACTAGACGAACTAGAACTGAAATAGACGAACTAGAACTGAACTAGAACTGAACTAGAACTGAACTAGAACTGAACTAGAACTGAACTAGAACTGAACTAAACTGAACTGAACTGAACTAGAACTGAACTAGAACTGAACTAGAACTGAACTAGAACTGAACTAGAACTGAACTAGAACTGAACTAGAACTGAACTAGAACTGAACTAGAACTGAACTAGAACTGAACTAGAACTGAACTAGAACTGAACTAGAACTGAACTAGAACTGAACTAGAACTGAACTAGAACTGAACTAGAACTGAACTAGAACTGAACTAGAACTGAACTAGAACTGAACTAGAACTGAACTAGAACTGAACTAGAACTGAACTAGAACTGAACTAGAACTGAACTAGAACTGAACTAGAACTGAACTAGAACTGAACTAGAACTGAACTAGAACTGAACTAGAACTGAACTAGAAC